CAAGGCCACTCTGAGCTACACAGCAAAACCCTGTCTCAAAAATAAAAAAATGAGAAAACTACAGAACTGGGGCTATAGCTCGGTGCAGCGGCTGGCAGCGGAGTTCCCCCGTCCTAGGCCCAGGTTTCTGCAGCACACACAGGCCCGCCCATCGCCAGCACCTCCTCTCCCCTGTGTGAGGAAGATGTATGAGTCAGGAATCAGGCTCGAGCTCTGTGGTGGCAACAAGACAGACGGGTGGCACAGCAGATGGGAGGGGCCACCACCAGAGGTGCCGTCGGGGATGACACAGTGGACACCAGGGGGCCTGAGACAGCTCTGTCACCCTTGAGTTTCATTCTGTTTTTTGTAGTGATGGCTGAAGCTACGGCCTTTGCCCTGAGCCCTGTCCCCAGCCTTTATATTTTGTTATTTTGAAACTGACTGTTGCTGGGCTCAGCTTGAACTTGGGATCGTCCTGCCTCAGCCTCCATGAGTCCTCAGATTGCAGGTGTCCGCCACCACCCTGACTGCGGCAGGCTTTTTTTTTTTTTTTTCTTGAAGGCAGAACCTTGCACTTGCCAGGCAGGCACTACCCACTGAGCCGCATCCTGGGCCCACGCAGCAAGATGCATGGGAGGATGAGGGGGTAGAGACGGACAAGGAGGGCCTTAGCATAGTCCCCACAGGGCTGGGAGCCGGGGCCCATCCTTCCCTTGGTGCCATCCCAAGGGAGTGGCTCTCGGGTCCTCGGATCGGTCAACTTTATTTTACTTCGAACAGTTTTAAGAGATGGAGCAGATAGGACAGAGGTCCCGAGAGTCTAGCCCCACTTAGCTAGGCAGACGAGCTGGGGACACTCGGGACTTCCCGGGGCAGGTGGGCAGAGGCCGCAGGCTGCTGAGTGTCCGTGTCCCCAGATCCAGCAGGCCATCCACGGCAGCCTGCAGCGGCACACAGTGCTGATCATTGCACACCGCCTGAGCACCGTGGAGCGCGCACACTGCATCGTGGTCCTGGACAAGGGCCGCGTGGTACAGCAGGGCTCCCACCAGCAGCTGCTGGCGCAGGGCGGCCTCTACGCCAGGCTGGTGCAGCGCCAGATGCTGGGGCTCACGCCCGCCACAGACGTAGCCGCCACCAGCCCCAAGGATCCACCAGCTGACGGGGACCACAAGGCCTAGGATGCCGCCCCGTGCATCCTCCGGGAAGCCACTGCTTGCTGCGTCTCGCCCCGCCCTGGCCTGCGCCCACAAGCTGCCCCTCCGCTGCCCCCCACCCAGCCCCCAGGCTCCCTGCAGAGGCCAAGCTACCTTTTGAAACCACTGCCATCCCAGGGATTTCACTGCTTGCTTCCCTCACTCGGGTCAACGCCCAGGTTTCAGAGAAGACTTTTTCCATGAGGGCAGTAGGGGGCAATGTGGCCAAAATTTTCTAGAAGGTTCTGAGCCAGGAGTGGCGGCCCAGCCTGCTTGCCTGGAGGATGCAAAAGAGAAGTGGCTCAGCCTCTGCCTGTCCTGCGCAGGGACATCCCTGGGGCGTGGGGTGCAGGCCCGGGCCCAACTCGGAGTCAAGCCAAGGGCAGGGGGAGTGGGCGCATCTGTTTTCATTGCCCTCCCCTCGCCACCCAAGCCAGGTTCACTGTGACCACCATGACCTCGCGCGGCAGCAAGGGCCTGGCTGGGCCTGGGCCTGGGCACTCTGGCTGCACCCAGGGCTTCCCCCGCCCTCCTGGCTGCACCTCCTGCTCTGCTGCTGGAGGCCCAGGATCTGTGAGCTGCGTTCTCTCTGTGGCTCTGGCCAAGCCCACACCTGGGCCTCAAGTTGGGATGAACTCGGTCAATAAAGTGTACTACCTCTGACCCGGCTCCGGCCTCTCCTTGGCCCCTTGCCCATGGCCTGGCTGGGTCCCCAACAAGCTCCTCCTGTCCCGCTTCCAACACGGACTTGGGGGTCCTGGAATTAGAATCCTGTGGGTCTTCTTCACAGCCCCAGGGCCTCAGCACAGACATTCCTGTGTATCTGTCTGTCCCTTTGTCTGTCTGGTGGAGTCTCTGCCAACCCCAGGACGCTTGTGCACCCCAATAGCCAAGGCCAGCAGGTGCCACTCCAGCCTGTGCAGCAGGCAGATGCAGGACGGATCACTCTGCAGAGAGGCCTTAGCTGGGCACTCAGCGCACACCTCTAACCCCAGCACTCGGAGGCTGAGGCAGGAGGATTGCCACAAGTTTGTGGCCAGCTTGGACCACATACATAGCAAGACCCTGTTTCAAAAAACCAGGGCTAGCCAGATAGCTCAGTGGATTAAAGCACCTGCTTAGGCAGATGCAGGGACAGGGGTTTGATTCCTGGTGTGCCAAGCCAACCCCACCCCTGGGGCGCACTGAGACTGGATGTGATGGTATGTGCCTGTAATCCCAGCACTTGGGAGGCTGAAAACAGGAGGATCATTATGAGTCCGATCTGTGTGGCGAGACCCTGAAGACCCTGTACAAAATGCATTAAAAATTTTTTTTAAAAAACCCAAAAACCTAAAGCCACCAAAAGGAGGAATACTTGTCGCCTCTCAGCCCACGTGGGTAACCCAGGACACATTCATCTTGAGAGTGTAACTCAGTCACATCTGCAAAGACACGTTTGCCAAGCTGGGCCACATGCTCAGGTGCCAGGAATTCGCTGTGGGTTCTGGGGGCGCCACCGCTTACTTCAGGAGGAAGTTGCCGCGCCGGCTCAGACCCTCAGGGCTTCCTGTTTGGGGGGGGGCTGGGTGTCCCGTGTTCAGAATGAGCAGATCTTCAGAAGTTTCTAGAGAAGTGTCAGCAGCAGTTAACTGGGAGATCAGCCACTCGGAGCAGATGGACACCGAGTGTCTCAGTAGAAGTGGTCTGAAGAAACACAGCCCGCCTTGGCTTTACCAAGCCACAAGCCTGCTCCACTCCCGGAGGCTGAGGCAGGAGGAGGCTGCTGCACTCCCGGGCAGCAGGCAGCTCCATTCCCATCCTGCGACTCCAGGCCGGCAGTGGTCCTGGCTGATGAGCCAAGCCCGCCCCTCTTCAGAAGGCAGATAGAGTTTTTTAAAATATCTTAACTGGGGCCAGGGAGATGGCTCAGTAGGATAAGCGCTTGACTGGCAAACGCAAGGATCTGAGTTCAATCCCCAGTTCCGCAAAAAAAAATAAAAAAATAAAATATCTTAACTGGTGTGATGGCAGCGCACACCTGTAATCCTGGCACGTGGGAAGGCTGAGGCAGGACGTCACAAATTCCAGGCCATTCTGGGCAATTTAGGTACTTAGACCCTATCTAAAATTAAATGAGCTGGGGCTGGCCAGGGGTTCGAATCTCAGCTGGCCATGCCGGCCACACTCCCAGGGCACACTCAGACAGCAATTGAGACTGGGCATGGTGGCCTGTGCCTGTAATCCCAGCGCTTGGGAGGCTGAAAAACAGGAAGGATCACTGCGAGTCCAATCTGTGTAGTGAGACCTTGTAGACCCTGTGCTAAATACATTTGCTAAAAAAATATCCTATTTCACTAGGAGTTCAAGGCCACCTTGGGCTACAAAGTGAGTTTAAGGCCAGCCTGATTCACATAGTGAGACTCTGTCTTAAAAAGACAAAAAAAAAAAAAAAAAATTTAAATTAAAAGGCCTGGGAGCCAGTTAAGGTGAAGGCCCCAGGTTTGGTTCCCCACACACGCACACACACATCTTCCAGGGCTGTAGCTCAGCAGCACGCCCCTGCCTGGCAAGCAGGAGATCCTGAGTTCAACATCCAGTTTGAAAAAAAAAAACAGTCTTCACATGTGCTGTAAGCCTAGCACTTGGGAAGCTGAGGGAGGAAGATCAAAATTCTGAAGCCAGCCTGGACGGTCTCAAAATGAGAAGGGCCGGGCTGTCCCCAGTGACAGCACTTGCCTAGCGTGCACAAGGTCCTCCTGGGCTCTATCCCCAGGACTACAAAGCACCCATGCGAGGCGGCAACACGCACCATGACAGTGCTCGTTAGTGGCAACCGCGGCACTCCGGGTCCTGCAGTTCTGAGTCCTGAGTCCTGCTCAGCAGCCCCAGAGGCGTCCCCCTCCCCCGCGCCCATCGCCTCTCTGATCCCTTCTCCCTGGCTCCCGACCTCTGCATTTGCCTCCCCTTCCCGGGAGCGCCTCATTGGCAGGTGGCCTGTTGACTGGCGTCACGGTCGCCTGGGTGTAACTTTTGCCTTCTCATGGCCGAATAACAGCCGTGGAAAAAGCACATGGCTGCTCTCCCTCCTGCCGCAGCCCGGGAATTGCTGCCTCGCTTCCAAGGAAAAGTGGGGCTCTGACCCTGCGTTCCCTCTCAGGCACACATGCCTAGGCGGACAGTCACTGAGCCACAACGCAGGTCTGTGAGCCGCCGCGGGGGACCTGCCACGCTGCCTCCCGCCCTGCGGAGCTGCCTCACGTGCACCCACAGCGCTCGAGGGTCTCACCTCCCCACGTCCTTCCTAATATGTCCCGAGCCATTTTATTTTTTTAATTTTGAAGGGCCAACCAAATAGCTCAGCAGATTAAAGCACCTGCAAACAGGCTCAGGGGCTGAGGGTTCCATCCCCAGGTCTGCCATGCTGGTCCTGTCCCCCAGGGCGCTGCTGAGACAGCAATTGAGGCTGGCCATGGTGGCGCGTGCCTGTAATCCCAGCTCTTGGGAGACTGTAAACAGGCAAATCACTATGAGTCTGATCTAGTAGTGAGACCCTGAACACCCTGTAGACCCTTCCCTAAAATACAAAAAAAAAAAAATTTGAGTCAGGGTCTCACTAAGGGGCTAAGTTTAAGTTGTGCAGGCTGGGTTTGAACTTGGCATCCTCCTGCCTTATCCTGCCGTGCTGTGGGTATAGGTGATGGTAGCTGTCCTTTGGTAAGACAGAGGGAGGTGGCTTTGAAGGCTTTCTCCCTTTCCTGTGTTACTCTTCTTCTACCCTAGGTACCAGGCACAACTGTCGAGACCCACATCTTCACGGCATGCAGGAGCAGCCAGGGAAATAGATGAAGGGACAGCAGGGAGGAGGCTGTGGAGATGAGGCTGGGGCTGGGGGACCGGGAGCAGCCTCAGCAGTTGCCCAGACTGCTTCACATTCAAGAGCCTCCTGCCTCAGCCTCCTAAGTAGCTAGGATTACAAGTGTATGCCACCATCCCTCGCCTGGGAGAGACATTTGTTTAAAAGTTGTTTTCACAGCAGTGATTAGGAAAATAATAATTTATCTCCCCTACCAAGTACCAAACACACACAGGCACACAACACAAGCTTCACAAAAGAATATCAAAATAGTTAATGACATTGGGCTGGGGATACAACTCAGTGGCACAGGGCCTGCACGGCAAGCATGAGGTTCTGAGTTCGATTCCCATACCAAACAAAAAATATTTATGACATTCTCTCTCCTGTGTCATTAAAAAAAAAAAAAATGATTTCATGACCTGTGACTACCTTGGGCAGCTCGACAAACCGTGCAGTGGAAGAATAAGCCCAGGGAGTCTGGACCTGGTTTATATTCACAAATACCGGACATGACTTTAAAGTGTAGTCACCAGGCGTGGTGGCACACACCTGTCATCCCTGCACTTGGGAGGCTGAGGCAGGGGGACTGCTGTGAGTTCGAGGCCAGCCTACGCTGGGGAGTGAGACCCTTTCTCCAAACAAACAAAGGACTTCAAGAACACAAAAGCAAACATTAACAAGGGCCAGGTCTGGGTGGCTTTGGGAAATCACACCGTCCCGGGGAGGGGCTGGACCCAGCTCTGGGAGAGGCAGAGGCCGCAGGGCCCAGCTTTGTAGCTGGGAACAGAAGTGGCTGAGGGCCCTGCAGGGAGGGAGGCAGTGTGCCCAGCCAGGGAGCGGCCACGGTCCCTGTGGGCACCACTACCTCCTCCTCCCCGGGGACAGCCGCCAAGTGACTCTACCATTCTCTAGGGCCGGATGACAGGGGCCTGGCCTTCTAGAGCTCTCTGGAAGTCAGGACTGCTGAGGTCTTTTATTTCTGGCCCTTACCAGGTAGGAGAGCTGTCGTGATTTCAAATAAATACAGAAAAAGTATTTAACTCCCCCCCTCCTGAGGACTTCCGAAGGAAGGTAATGGTTTAATGTTTACTTTTCAAAATTATAAACCAGGTGTGGTGGCACACACCTGTCATCTCACCACTTGGGAAGCTGAGGCAGGAAGATCACTGTGAGTTTGAGACCAGCCTGGGCTACAAAGTGAGCTCAAGGCCAGCCTGAACTACATGGTGAGAACTGTCTCAAAAAGACAAAAAAATTAAAAAATCTAAATTTTGGGTAAAATACAGGACCTAAAGTTGACTGG